CCAATTCTCCGGCGTCTGACGTCACCTACAACATGGGTCGCTTACCTTACTCGTCACTTACCCTTCCTCCTCACGATGTTATTTCTCTCTCCAACAGCGTGGATGTTGATCTTTTTATAAAATCTTTTCTGAAAATAAGAAGAGTTGTTGGTTATGATCAATTGAGCAAACAGAAAAGATTCCATCTTAAAAAGATCCTGAATAAGTTGAGGAGGGAAAAACGAGGAAAAGCTCCTTTAAAAGCATAGTGAAATGTTTGAGGCACTAAGGGTGTCCTTCTGGAAGCGTCTCACTGTCTTTTCTCTTTTTCTCCTCCTCTTTTCTCTGACTTATATGGCAAATTTGAGAGTAGGTACACTTAACATTAGTGGTAGGGATAGGGAAAGGCGTGCAGTCTTAGTGGAGCTTAGCAAGAACAAAAACACTGATGTGTTCCTTTTGCAGGAAACACATAGCACTATAGATAATGAGACAGAATGATAATGAGTTGGAGTGGGCAGGTTTTTTTAAGTCATGGTACTAACAGGTGTAGCAATTTTATTTTCTAGGCACCTTCAACTGTCACATGTTTCCATCTGTGAGATAGAGCAGGGAAGGGCACAGGTAGTACAATCAACCATCAAGGGAATACCTTTTGCTTTTATGAACATATACGCCCATAACTCAGCTGCAGGTCATGTGCGGTTATTTCGTAAAATTAATGATAAATTATCACAATTACATAGTGGTTCTATAGTAGTGGTGAGAGGGGACTGGAATTGCACAACCCACCCTTCAGTTGACAGAAATGCAGGAGAGCCTCACCCACCTTCGGGCTCACTTTTATCTACAATCATTCTTCAGAATGATCTGACTGATGTGTGGAGAAAGCTCCATCGCACAACCAGACAGTACACATATGTAAAAATTTCTAAGAGCAGTGTGAAGACAGCTGGGCTTGATAGATTCTGTATCAACCAGATGTATAATAATAGACTAGTTAAAGCAGAGATTTCACCTGTTGGTTTTTCTGATCATCATTTAGTGACTGCAGATTTTTCTTTATTGATGCATTCTAACGTCTGTTCGCACTGCCACTTTAACGTGCAACTGATTCATGACAAAGAGTTCTGTCGAGCTTTTTCTGACTTTTGGTGCCACTGGAAACAAAGGAAAACGGACCTTTGCAATTTGGCTCAATGGTGGGAGGTGGGGAAAACGCAGATTAAGCTTTTTTGTCAACAATACACATCACATGCAACGGCCACTGTTAAAGTCTGCTTTGAGGACTTAGAACGAGAGCTCAAAATGCTAGAGGATAAAATAATAATAAGGGGGACCGATAATACAAATAGTACCTGGGATGATAGGGGGATGGCTTTGGGCAAGT